AATTGACGAAGAGTATACAACAAGATCAAGAAATTTGGTGGCTGGAATTTTGGAATTTAAGAATGAAATTTGGGGAATCTGGTTTTGAAATTTAAGAAGATGAGTGGGAATTTGGGGTTTCAAAATCCAAAATTGAAGATTAAGAGTTGAAAATTTGGGGGATATATGAAAGCCCTTACGGTATTTGATTGTCTTCTTCATGATGAAAAATTGAAACCCTCAATTTATTTGTTAGGGAAAAGAAGGTGGAAGAGAGAAAAGAATGTGGATGAGGCAGAGGAGAGAAATAAAATAAAGAGAAAAGGTAAGAAAATAAAGAAGAAAAGGTTAAGGGAATATTACGTGAATACAGAAAATAGAAAAAAATTAAAATTTCTTAATAGGTTTTATGTTTTATTTTAGATATTCCTTAAAAAAATAATTTAATTAGGTAAATCTTGGTTTGGAAACAAATGGCCTTAAATAAAAATAATATAAATAAATTCTAATATAATATAAAGATTTTTTTTTTCAAAATCGGGGGCCCCTAAATTTCGTAAAAAATCGGGGGCCCAAGGCGGTCGCCTTTCTCGTCTCCCCTCAAAACCGGGCCTGGTTCCATATTATCTTCATATTTGTTTAATTATTTCATCTGGTTCTTTGTAATTGTTTAATTATACGTGGCCTGATTTTAGGAATATTCTTTTTTTAGACGATAATGCCCTTGTCCTCTAGTTATTACTCCCTCCGTTTCTAAATATGTTGTTCACCTAGGCACGAGTCTTAAGAATCTCGATAAATATGTCTTGATTTTAGAAAAATAGATATAGATAGACCAAAATACCATTGTTTACTGATAAATGCAGAAAAAATGTTGGAGAGTTAATAAGGGTATAATTGAAAAATATGTAATTAATGCAGCATTGGAATTGTAAAGTCACATATAATATGAAACAAAAAAAGTTCTTAAAAGAGACAGATATTGTGGAACAGATGGAGTACTTATTAAGAGATATCAGAATTGAAAATTATATAATTAATGCATTCATATTGAAATTCTAAAGTGACAGATAGTATTTCAGTGGAACTACGTTAATTTATTAATTTTATGATTTTGTTTTTGCAGGCAATTACGAATGCTAGGGTTCCGGTTCTTAAGCTAAAGGATCCAACGACGGGTATTTCATGCGATATATGTGTGAATAATATGTTGGCGGTTGTGAACACGAAGATGCTCCGGGATTATTCCCAAATCGATGTTAGGGTTTGACAGTTGGTCTTGATTGTCAAGTATTGGGCTAAATCACGAAAAATCAACGAAGCTTATTGAGGAACTCTCTCTAGTTATTCGTAAGTTTCTTCTCTTTTTCAATCTTTTAGAACCTAATTAACTACGACCCCTGAAAATTCTGGCTCTGCCATTGATCATTTGGATATTGTTATATATAATTAACTTGATGTTTAATTATTTTTTCAGTTATGTTTTGATGTGTATACATTTCTTACAACAACGTTGGCCGGCTATACTCCCGTGCTTGCAGGTTCGAAAACGACGAGATATATATATATATATATATATATATATATATATATATATATATATATATATGAGTTAATTGCATAGACCCCCTCCCCTGTGTTATTTCTCGGAAGCAAAAACCCCCCCGGAAAAAAAAATTAGCATATAACCCCCTATGTTGTGTTTTAGTCAGCCCACCGCCCCTTTGTGTGCACTGGCTCGTTGACTTACGTGAAATGACAGAATTGCCCTTAATAAAAAATAGAGCAAAAAAGAAAAAAAAATCACACTGAATTAATTATAAATAACCTAAATTTAGAGGACCAAATTGTAATTTCCAAATTTTACACCTTCTTCCCCATTTCCGTCGGCCTATCTCCGCCATTAATAAGTTCAGCACCGCCGCCGTCTGGCCCTCCGACACCCACCCACTCCTTCAAATTCCTCTCCTCGACACCTTACCCCGGAGCCCTTCAACTTTGTTGCGTCTGCCATGGATGTCACCTCCATGGCAGCGCACTCCCCCTTCCATCGCCGGCCAATCATCACAGGCTACTCCGAGCGGCGACCCAACATCACTGGAAACTCCATCGGCGACCCTACCTCACTGGAGATCTCTCCGCCGCCGATTAATAGATCCGCCGCCTACCTCACTGGAGATCTCTCCGCCGCCGATTAATAGGTGGCGATTTGGAGAAGAAGGATGTGGTTTTTATGTGGCGTAAACAAAATACACTCACCACATACATGGCCAAGCCAGAAGCCAAGTGCCGATCGGCTTGTCCAGCCGCGCCAGCCGAGCGTACGGCCTCGCATTTTCCGGCAAATAAACATCAATCCACGAACGATCGCCATTGATGATATTCGGCTTTTTCGATTCTTCTCGTTTTCCGTCGGGTGCTGCGGTGGAAAAGCTGGAGTGCTGAATAAGTTCGTGATAGGCGCCGATTGATCTTATCGAGCTGCTGTGATTGTGCCATTGAATTTTGGAACCAAAATTACCGGAGAGCTCGAAGAGGTGGTGCAGGCGGCGGCGAGTGGGAGGGGAGTTATAATTGCTAGAGGGTTGGGGTGAGTCGAAATAGGAGTTTGCGGTGGAGAGAGAAGGGCAGTGGTGGTGGCGGCGGCGGTGGAGACTCCGGGCGATTCGTGAGAGACGATAGAACGCACGCCCTAAAATGTCCTTTTGTTGTTTGATTTTTTTGAAGGGCTTTTATGTATTTTCATGTCCTAAAATGTCCTAAAACGCACGCCCAGCTGCATGAACCGCGAGTGTATCCCATGATTCGCTCGTAGGGTCCTTATTGTCATTGACTTCCTTTCATAGGGGGGTATTTGCTAATTTTTTTATCCGAGGGGTTTTTTTGACAATTAGACATTTCACAGGGGAGCCAAGTGCAAATACCCCATATATATATACACTTCAATTTCTTGATAATTACAAAAAAAGAAATTATATAGTTAAATTCTTGATTCTTATTTATTTATTACATGACTTGACAGAGAATGGGGACTACTTATTCAACAACTGCGGAGGATATCGAGTGCTCGTATTTCGACCGTGTGAAAGAGCTGCGCAATTTTGGGATAAGAAACAGAGAGAATCTATCTCAACTAGTGTGGGCATTTTTCCATTATTGGGCTTATTGTCACGACTATGTAAACGACGTCATATCAGTTCGAACGGGAGATTTATTAAGGTAGTAATAATTACTAAAACGCGATTTTGTGCTTTTTTAATAAAGTAAATGACAGCAAAAATACTAATTAAACTGATTTCTTCTTCCGTGTTCGATTTTTGTAGCAAGAGAGAGAAAGGATGGACGATTAGAGTGGGCAACGATCGACATTTGATGTGCATCGAAGATCCATTTGACGTATACCGTGATCTTGGAAGATTTGTTGACAGAAGTACTTTGAGAATTATCAGACAAGAATTCGAACGTGCTGCCGAAATCATGCAATATGATTCTCAACCCTTTGTAGCTTTGTTTGAACCCTATGTTAG